ACATACACACTAATATAACAAATGAATAAANTACACTAAAAACACATACACTAATATACTAAAACGCACACTATTATACAAACACAAAGACACATATATTAACACACCAAAACGCACACATATTAATCAGCACATACATGCACACTCACACGCCATGTTAACACGCAAATATACTGCAAATACATACACACTAATATAACAAATGAATAAACACAGTATTATAAAAACACAAATCACATACAAAAAAAACACAGATACACAAAATGCACACAAACTAATCATAGTTCAAAATTTAAAAAGTTTATTAAATTTTACGAGATGGATAACTAATCAAAGTAAGACTCACATATTGCATATTTAAGTTCGTTGGGATGTGTTAGTGATGCGCAAAACACTTATGTTTTGTTGAGTGTGTATTAACATTGTATGTGTTTTTGTGTACTAATATATGTATGTGTGTATATGTATACTTTGACATATTACTGTGTGTAAGCATTGCATGCATGGTTTAGTGTCTTAGTGTAAATATGTGTTTTGGTGGATTAATATGTTTATATTTTTTGTGTATTAGTGTGTGCGCGTGTTTTTTGTTGTATTAATATGTATGTGTCCTTTTTTCATAACTAGTAAATTTTAAGATTCATCTAGAATAACACAACTAAATCAAGTTTTCTACTAGCAGTGAAAATTTGCAACCACCACCACAATTATTAAGAAAACACATTATTAATATTTAAAAATGAAAGCTATAATATATACTCAAACATATAGAAAAGTAATAGACATGTAAATGTATATACAAGAAACCAACCTGTATGCTCTTCAAAAATAGGTTTACAGTAGTGTCACATGAACCTGGATTATTATTGATAAAAATTGTCATCATTCATTTGTATCCAGAGCAACATGGTCTAGGATCTTTAAACTTCAACATTAGAGTCTTTTATAGTTCGATAACTGCAAAAAATCTTAAGGATTGAGATCGGAGACTAATTAAAAATTTTACAAGATAAGAAGAAAAGAAAACGTTAACAGAATCACACCATAAAATCAAAATCTGATACATACTCAAATAAAAATCTATACCTATCACAAGCTCGCCTCTGATGGTAAATCTACAACCGCTCATATTGTTGATTCACAAGCCTTCCAAATTTCAATGGGTGGGCCTCCCTCCACCATCTTAGGGTACTACATAAAATAACCAAGTGGACACTTTGAGTCATAACAATAGCATATAATACTCAAGCAAAAGTCTACAAACGTTACAAGCTCACCTATTGGCAAGTCTGTAACTGCTTGGATTGTTGTTTTATAAGTCTCTCAAATTTCAATAGGTTGGTCTTTCCTCCATCATTTTAAGCTACAACAACACTCAGTAGGCAATAGTACACCATCGAGTCAGAGCACAAAATTTTAAGAAATAAAATATTGTAATCAATGATATTTCACAAAAAAACATTAATATACTAAAAACACACGAATTAATACACCAAAAACAACACACAAATACGCTAAAACACATTGTATTAACACGCACACTAACACACCAAAACATGCATACACACAAAAATTAATACACAAACATACTGAAACACACACATTGTTAACACACAAGCTAATACATGAAAAAAAATACACACAACATACACAAATATATCAAAATACACACACCCACACACTGTATTAGCAAACACTAATACACAAAAAAATACACACATACTACATAAAAAAAAAATTACACTAACACAACAACACACTATTCCACAAATACAAAACACATAAACACACACACAAATACAACCTCCCACAGACTATTAATTCACCACAAGTAAATACATTAATACACCAAAATATATACACACAAACATTAATTCACTAAAATACATACACTCCATCACATGTGGTCTTAACACAGGCTAATCCACCAAAATGCAAAAACTAATCCATCAAAAACACAAACACTAATATACCAAAATACACTATTATACAAACACAAATGCCCACACATTGACACCCTAAAACGTACACATACTAATTAGCATGTATACACCGTGTTAACACACAAATATACCGCAAATACACACTAATACAACAAACAAATAAACACATTAAAACATACTATTATAGAAATACAAACTAACATATTCACAAAAAAAAAAAAAAAATTAGAGTTCAAAACACACGCTCTGTTCACGCACTAATACCACAAAAAATACACCCAGACACTAATACACTAAAGAAACACATACACACAAATACAAAAAATACACACACAAACTAATAATTGTTCAAAATTAAAAGAGTTTATTAAATTTTACAAGACGGATCACTAATCAAAGTAACAGTCACATATTGCACATTTAGATTCACAGAGCACTTACGCTTTGTTGAGTGTGTATTAACATTATGTGTTTTTGTGTATTAGTATGTGCATTTTTTTACGTATTAGTATGTATANTCATTAAATTTTACAAGACGGATCACTAATCAAAGTAACAGTCACATATTGCACATTTAGATTCACAGAGCACTTACACTTTGTTGAGTGTGTATTAACATTATGTGTTTTTGTGTATTAGTATGTGCATTTTTTTACGTATTAGTATGTATACATGTGTGTATGTATACTTTGATATTTTAGTGTATGTGTTGACAATATGTGTAAACATTGCAAGCGTGGTTTAGTTTCTTAGTGCGTATGTGTGTTTTGGTGTATTAGTGTGTGTGCGCTTTTTTCATAATTTGTAAATTTAAGGATTCATCTAGAATAGAACAATTAAATCAAGTTTTCTACTAGTAGTGAAATTAGTTAAGAGCTTCGCGTGTCTCCATTGCCAATTAGTTATGAGCCCCCCCCCCCC